AGGAATGCTTAATTCTGGTCTCAGTTCTGTCACTGATTCCCTAGGTGATGCCACCAAATGCTTTTACCTCTCTGAGATCAACAAAAGATTAGAGCAGACAGAGGATCCCTAGGCAAAGGGCAGAATAGTCCCACCGAGGTGGCAGCCAGCTCAAGGCAGAGGGAGAGGGTTCTACCCAAGGGGCTTCAAGGGTTCCCTGCATTCCTGATTCGCCTCAGGCACTTCAACTTTCAGGCCCAAAACCAAGGGTGGAGTTTGGGAGAAATGGTCGTAGGTCTTCTCCAGGAGAGCAATGGAGCCTGCATCTCAAGGAATCCTGCCGGTTACCTACTCACAATCCTCAACTCCAGGTAACACCTTCCTTCTGCTTATCCTTTTCTTAAAGCATATCTTGGAGGCTCACAACCTTCCCTTTTTAAAAAAAAATTCTTGCTGATAGAAAATTCTTCCTCATACCTAATCTAAGTCCATCTGCTGCAATTTCTGTCTATTTTCTCTCGTTCAATCCTTACTGGAGATGGAGAACAGCTGGTCGCCATCCTCCATATAACATCCCCTCCTAAAGCAGAAACAGTTATGACATCACCCTTCAGCCTGTTTTTACTTCTGGTGTACCATCCACTGTGCCTCCTGACCTATCTCCGTAGATTCTAGCTCTGAAAGTATGTATGACCAGTCACCATGGCAGCATGGGAAGGTTGCAGAGCTGTGGCCTCCACAGCAGGAGGTAGACTCCCTGGCAAGATCAAAAGAGAAGGTCACTGCAGAAAGGGACCTAGAAGAACACGGTCCGTTCTTTTTACACAGGAGGAAACTAAAAGCCAAAAGAGCAAATGAGTATAATGCCCAAGATCAAATCCCAGGGCTCAGGTGCCAGACCCAGCATTCCTTTTCTTCTCCCTTTCTTTTTTGGTGGTGGAGGGAGGGTAGGATCTCCTTATGTGGCCTAAGCTTGCCTTAAACCCCAGATCTTCCTGCCTCCATAGTCCAAGTACTGGAATATAGTCACATGCCACTGAAGCAGCTGAAACCCCAACTCTTACCCCAACTTCCTGAGTAGTCACAGCAGTGTCTCAACTGGCAAACAAAGAGCCATGGTCCCTCAGTTTGCTCCTCTCCAGTTCTGTCTTTCTTGTCCTGTCAGCAGATGCTAAACTTCTGCTACAAAAGTTTCTGGGCTTTTTCTTAATACGCAACTACTGAACGTGAGTGTGATTTCGTGGTAGTGTGATACATTCTACAAATACGGGAGAAAGACTTCAACGCCTCTGTAAGTTACACTGTTAACTTAGTGGACAGGAGTAAACTTGATCTTTTCTAATTCCTGACGGATGATGACTAGAAGAGAACAAAGAAATAGGGAGAGTGGCAGACAAACTGCACTGTCCCTTAGTGTTTTCAAGGTCAGTTCCCAGTTGGGCCTGTGGAAGGGGAGTGGGGAAGTGGGCCTCACACGGGAGAGCAGCAGGATCCCCATACCTAGTAGGAATCATCTTTTCCCAGAGGTATCCACCCTATCTGCCTCACAGAACCAGGAGCCCACCATCCACGAACTCTACCGAGGTCTGAGATAGAAGTGAACTGGGTGGAAGGATTACCTCATCGATTCCACAGGGCAGGCAGTCTCCCATGGCTAGTCCAGTATCCCTGGGGACTCTGATTAACTGTGTCTGACATGATGTGAGCAGGGTGTCATGAGGAAATCTCATGTAGGGTGCCCTGAGATGGTACGAAGAACCAGAATGGATGAAGGGAAGAGAAATACGCCTACCTACCAAATCGAGTAAGGTGCCTGCTTCAGGTGAAGTAAGTCCCCAGCTGGGATGAAGGCTGCAGGGTAAGTGTACAGAAAAGTGCCTCAGATGTACTATGCACTCATAATTTTCAGATCTGAAATTTTCCTAAATGAAGACCGGAGGACACTCGGGCAGGGAGGATACTGATCTTAGACTTCAAAAAAGCCTTTTGCCATTTTGAATAAACAGTGGCACATTGAAACTTAATCTTGTCGACTTTCAAGGATGGTCCAGACTGCTTCAAACCTGCAGACACACCCTCCCTGAGGATAGCTGGGAAATTCATAGATCCGCAAAGAGAAAGAAGACATCATGACAGCATTTACCAAAACGCCTAACCCAATAAGCATGCTTATTTGATTTCCCCAAAACCACAAAATTAAATTTTAAAAGAGAAAACAAAAAGACACTTCTCTGATAGAAATTTTAGTATGTTTTCAATCCTATTTCTTGGTCTGATTTTCTTTAACTGCAAAATCTGCACAAAATGATGAGATCGAAGCAGGTTGGCAAAGAGATTAGTTATTGACATGTTTATCATGGAAAGGGATGACAGGAAGGATGGTGGGCACTGAGGTCCTGAGGGATAGAGGAAGTCTCTTATTTGCCAGGGCAATCAATCACGCTAGGGTTGGAACAGCAGAAGGATGTAGCCCCTCCACATCCCAGTAGCTCAGGGCAGAAGCCCTGGCTGGCCAATCGGGCATAAAGAAAAGTACTATATAGATGCATGGTACCTATCCAGGTTCCTAGCTAAAGCTACCATATTCAATTCGAAGAAATGACAACCAACAAATGTAATTTCCTGAGCATCCATCAGTCCCTGAGCATCCATCAGTCCCTTCACACACAAGCAAGCAGCCAGCCTCGCAGGAGTTAATCAGCCACATACCATGACTGCATTCTCCATAGCAGAGGTTCAGGGGTCCTGGGGTTTGTGCTCACACTGTCCAAGGTACAAAGCTACAATGAGGGTGGTTTGGGTTTTGTCAATTACTCTCCAGCTCCTATACTCGGGCTTTTTTTTAAAGCTTAAGTTGTTATTTTAATGATCTCTGTTCCAAATGAGGAAATACAAGGAAGACGACTGAGGAGGAGGGAGAGGGAGAAGAAGCAAGTGCTCCAATGTGTCCCACTTGCACTCTTCAAAGCTCCCTCGGCTCCCTCCCCCACCCTGCCTTTTCCTCTGTGCATGAGTCACCACAAGGAGCTGTTTTAAAACGCCTTGCTTTAATGTTCTCCAGCATGACAGACATCAACAGATCCCAGTTTGCCATAAATTGAAGGGGGACCCTAAGTTCTGCTCCTGGTTTCTGCACCAAGGGACCCCTCAAACTCAAAAGCTTACCTAACTTATTCTTATGTTCATTAAAAACAGAACAAAAAGCAGGGTTCCTGCATCCAGGCCACAGTGCCTGGGTACCAACCCCACTGCCTCTCTGAGGTCATGTGCCGCCTTACATCGCAGAGAAAAAAAGTGATTTAGAACTGTCCCCAGGAGCCTAAAAAAGTTCAGGTCCACCCAGAGACCTTGGATAGCAGGAGTCACGCTATGTAGAGCCTGGGGTTTGTTTTGCTACTTCCAGCCAACACACATGCCCAAAAGAGGTCGGGTATTCCAGGCCAGCTGTAACCACACAACGCTAGGCAGCTGTTTCTTCAACCATGGGGACTAGAACTTCCACAATAACGTGTCCCACCCAAACAGTTGCCTGAAGGAAACGAAGGTGAACCTGTTGTGTGTGGTAGTGAGGGGCACGGGAACTGAGTGTAGGAATGACCCTTAGAGCAGAAGAGTCGAGGCTGCCACACCTCTGAGGCGGTGGGAGAGGTGTCACGGGGACAGGGCTCTGCTCAGAACCCTTCCCGGAGCACCCTTATCAGGACTGTTTCTTGATTTTTAAGTCTGGGACAAAAATCAAAGGGAAGGAATGCACCCAGACCCTGCATTCCCCGAACCCAAGGAACTTGTAATACCACCTGGAGACTGGAAGGTCAGAGGAAATTGCGGGTATGACACACCACTGCATGCCTTGGAGCAATGGGCACCAGGAACTACCTGTGTGTGAAAGCAGGGAGTCCAAGGCCAAGTACATCGCCGTCGCTGGCACTGGGGACACCACTTCCTCAAGGCCCACTTCCCTTTGGCAAAAGTCGACAGAAAGGAGCTATTTCCACTATCCAAAGTGGGTCTTGGTGCAAGTGAGGCCCGTGTAGCCTCACAGTGTGGAGTATCCGAGAACCAACCACGGGCCACGGTGAGCATTTCTGCTTGAAGAGCAGTTACCAGAAGTAGCGTGAGCAGGGACTCCAGCACCATCTTCCTGCCACAAGTGCACCTGCGAATCTACACAGAACTACACGCCCCCACCCCCAGCTTCCCTTCCCAGCAGCCTCACTTCCAGAGCTGTGGGACCTCGGAATTCCTTGCTCTGGTAGGGGTGTAAAGCACCCTGAGATAAAATTCAGCTCCAGTGCCACTGTTTTTCGGGACTGGAAAATCAGGAAAGTCTTCCAGAATGTTTGGAAGCTAATCAATGAAGTCATTTCTTTTTCAGTGGCAAAGGTTTATTTCTCACCAAGTTGGGCGATGTGCAGATAGATGTTCACAGGGTCAAACGGGACAGGCTCCTATACCCTACGGAATTTCTCTTTTCACCAAATGAAGACAGGTGGCGAGACAGTGGGCAAAAGTAGCCCAGGAGAAGACGAGAAAAGTTTGAGGAAGGACTGGAGTTGAAGGTCACAGTAGTTTGGGCAGGGCAGGTCAAAGTATAGCGGACAGGGCAGAACGGACAGCAGAAAATCCAATTAAACCAAGCTTGCTTCTGGAACCAGCTGGAGGATATGGTCACAGCATCATTCTGGCCCAGGAAGCTGCCTGTCCGAGTCTCAGTCACTCAGCAAACCTGAGTCTACACCCTAACCCTGCAGGTCATCTGGCCCCAAACCAGACCCATTTGAGGAACCTGAGCGCAGCTAATTAAGAGTAGTAAACAAGCCTAGCTGTTGACGGCGCAGAAGTTTTTCCAAATTGTAGGCTTGTTTTCCTCCCAACAAAAGACAGTGGGTCTCCACCTTTGTCACCTTTCCTCCCCTTAAACTTTTCTCTTCTCTCTGCAATCCCTCCACCTGTGCTAACTGCAAGCCTGTGCGAAAACACAGCGGAAGCAGCCCCCTCTCCCGGGACACAGATAAAGGTACCTTCTCCGAGAAGCAGAGGGGCTCTCGTTCGGAGGCTCGCTGCCCCGCCGAGCGCAGGAGGACGCAGCCGGGATGGAGCACGCTGAGGATGCTGCGTTCCTGCCTCTGCGACCAGACCTTTCAGCAGCTCGGACCAACTGTGCTAGCGATGCACTTAGCAATTATCTGCTGGCGCCGACGCCCCGCCTCCTGCTCTTGTGATTGGCTCTTCAGTCCCGGGCAGGACTGCATTGGTCTCGGCCGACCTCACTCATTGCTTTGGCTCCTACTATTATCTAAGCCATCAAAGGAAATAATTCCATGTTTCATTGACAACCTGTAAGGTTCTCCTCCTGCCAGATGTCGTGAGGGGCGAACTGGGAGTCCAAAGAGGGGACGGGAGGACAGCCAAAAAAAAGGTGGGGGTGGTCGAGAAAGGGAGAGAAGGAGTAGGAGGGGGAGAGAGAAAGAGAGAGAGAGAGAGACAGAGAGAGAGAGAGAGAGAGAGAGAGAGAGAGATTCTTGCCCCAGAAATTTAACTTCTACAGAACAAAGCCCATTGCAACAATTATCTGGCTAATTTCCTTATGTCTCCCCCTTGCTGGTAAATATTCCTGAGGCTTGTGCGAATCATATCTGGTTTATGTTGTATCAAAAGGCTCCAGAAAGCAGAGCAAGGTTGAGGACTGAAGAAACAGAAAGATGCTTTTACACCTTGGAGGTCATCTGAAGGTCATTTCAGATTGTTCAGGGGGTCCTCGTACATGCTTTGACTGGTTGTTCATGTGCCTAGTCTTTTCCTTAAAGACCCACTAACCGCCCCAACCCCAGGTCGTCATTTCCCTCTGCACCCTATCTGGAGTCTGGAGAGAACTGTTCTTAAAGTCCACAAAACTCTGGGATTTCTCACCACAGGAGACACTAAGGAGCAGGTGGTCTGGGCCTAAGTACCTGCCAGAGCCTGCTTGCTAGTTTGTTTGTTTGGTCTTTATTATTATTATTATTATTACTCTAACCTGCCTTCCTTCCATTAATTGTACAGTCTCAAAAATTATCAGCCAAAGCAAGCAAGGAAAAGAAAGGAGTGGACACTAACCTCCATCTGGTGACTAATTCACTTTCCCACACAGAGACCCATAGAGATGGTTTTACTCTTGCCCGGCTTCACGTTTGTTCACCATGTAAAAAGGGCATGATTTAGAATTTCGTTCACCATGTAAAAAGGGCATGATTTAGAATGTGCTAAGAAAAATGATTGAGAAGGATCTTTGAAAGATAAAGTTCTTAGAAAATCTACTTCCAAGGCAGAAAGCGGGTCATCGGCAGAGCACGTACTTGCCTGCCATGTGCAAGGCTCTGGGTTTACTTTCTGGGTACGTTATTCTGTTAATTCAAAGGGAAAGAAAGAAATAAAGTCCCGGGTTCATTAGAGGCAGCCTTTCAGGCTTCTCATACTGGAATCCCACCGCTTTGAAAAGAGAAATCCGGTCTTCCCCTGTCCCCACCCATCCTGGGGATCAGCTACTACCCTGTTGTCCTCCACCTGGAAGGGCAACATCTAGCTCACACATACATGCCTGGCTCCCTAAATATAGTCTGAACTCTGGGAGGATGGAGATGCTACTGAGGCAGGCAAGAGTAGGAGATGATTTTAGTGCACCCGCCCCTCTCATGATGATGCGCTTGGCAATGTGGTTTCTTCACCTGCACACTCTTTAAACACACACTCCTCTCTAAGCAATGCCCCTAACAGCCTCCAAATCCCCTGACCCCTCCATCTGCTTCGGGCTACACGCATTTTTGCATAACAATAGTACGAGTTCTCTGACTCCTGGTAGCAATCAAATATGGACAGTTTCTATTCAAGTGTATTTCCCACATATCTGAGTATGAAGACAAGAAGGGCTGGTCCAGCCTGAACTCTTTTGGGCAGATGTGAAGTAAGGCAAAACTGTTTCTTCTTTTAGGGAGAGTCCCCTATTTGCCATCATTCTGTCTATGCGCATGAATTACCCAGGCAGTGGTGGCATAGCACTCAGAAGTCAGGGGCAAGTGCATCTCTGAATTACAGGTCAGCCTGGTCTACCGAGCTAGTTCCAAGGCAGCCAGGGCTACACAGAGAAACTCTGTCTCAAAAGCCCTTTTAAAATGCATTATGGGAAGGGACATGGACAATAGAAAAAAATTATTATACAATCTCAATTTAAGTAGAGAACCACTTTAACGACCCCTCTTAGTCACCAACCCCTCTTTCCTCAGACCCTATAAAAAGAGACCTCGGGCTGCAGCTTAGAGCCATTGAGAACTTCTACCCATGTGCTCTACAGTCAATCATTGTAATGCATCCGTTTTTAATCTATCTCACTGTTTATCTCCAAATAAAATTACCGTGCTTCTTTCGCAAATCTGCAGGACTTTTTATTTTTCAGTTCTTTAGGTAAGAGGCCAAGAATCTGGAAACATCCATTCCAGACCCCAGTAACAGTACCTGTGTATCTGTATAGCTCATAGACAGCACACAGTTCAATACCTAGGTGTGCAGTTCTGAGCCTCACAGAGCCATGATTCTACTGTTAGAGCTCATCTTTGGTAGGCAGATATGGCAGAGCCCAATTCAGAGTCCTAGAGCTGGATGTCAGAATGAAGGCTGTGAACCTCCACAGTTTCTAAGATGATGCTTTCACCTTCCTCATCATTCAGTACTGTCCCTGATCACAGAGATGGGAACTACAGCTCGGTACTGTCACATACAAAAACCTGAGGAGGCCCCTACTCTTCAAAGGACCCAAACTCAGTTAAAACCAGATCCTTGGCTTCAACTCAGAGAAGAATTTCAGAACTAGCCACTGTCAAGCAGAGTTGTAGCTCCTGTGTCTATAGCTAGGCAGTGGTGGTGCATGCCTTTAATCCTGGCACTTGGGAAAGCAGAGGCAGGCAGATCTCCAGAGTGCAAGGCCAGCCTGGTCTACAGAGTGAGTTCCAGGAGAGCCAAGGCTGTTACACAGAGAAACCCTATCTCCAAAAACAAAAACAAAAAGATGTGTTTGTATAGACTTTCAGCAGGAGGGTGAAGAGAAGAAGGTATTTAGGAAAGAAGGAAGGTGCAGCTGAGAAAATGGGTGTGGGCTTCATAAAGAGAGGCAGCCTCAGTGGCTGCATTTACATCAATACTATATAGGATCGTGGTGGGTTCCAAAACGTTTATCTTCAAAACCTTGCTAAGGAACGTGCTCTGTTTTGCTTTGTTGCTGTGATAAACAACCCTGTCAAAAGCAACTTGGGGGAGAAGGGATTTATTTCATATTACAGGGGTAGGCCACAGTTGATGGACATCAAGGCAGGCACTCAAGGAGAGCAGGCACTAAAGCTGAGACCATGGAGGTATACTGCTTACTGGGCCACTCTCTCTGACTCATGGTCAGCCTGATTTTTATGCAATGCAGGACTACCTTCCCAGAGATGATACAGCACACAGTGGGCTGGGCCCTCCTACACCAATTAGCAAGAAAACTGTGCATAGACTAGCCAAAAGACCATTAGCTAGGCAATTCCCCAACTGTGGTTCCTTCAAATAACTCTAGTCTGACAGCTAAAGATAACTAGGGCAATCCACACATTGTCAACTTGATACAAACATGTCACTTAAAGCCATAACCTTTCAATTTTTTGTCCCCCAAATCAGCTTTAAACATTCCACAGTCTTAAAAATATTAACACATTAAAACTTCAAAGTCTCTTTTCTGTGGGTTCCTATAAGATGGGAAAAAAGACAAGTTGCATACTTTCTTATTCCTAGAAGGACACAATTACAGTCATATCAAAGAGAAAGACAAGATGAACAGTGTGAAAAGCTCAGCGTCCAACATCTCGTACTCAGTCAAGATCTTCTGGGCTCCAAAGAACTGAGGTAACTCCACATCTCTGACTTTGCAACCAGCAGTCTAGCAGCTTGTCTTGTAGGCTCAGGCTGGCTCCACTCCACTTCAGCCACTCATTATCTTTGGTGGGTGTCCCATAGTCCTGCCATCTCCAGCATCCTGGACTCTCCACTGAAAAAGAGGCTCACTTTTCACCAGTTGATTCTTGGCCTCTCTTGTGAGACTCCATCCCTGACACTTGGCGTCAAGCTTCAGCCTCTCACCACAATCCCTTTGACCCTGGGGTATCCACTACCCCAAATCTGCACCTTCACCAATGGCCTCTGCTGGTCTCTCAGAGCTTGAGACATAGCTTCCGCTGCCTAGACATGATAGTCTGGACTTCTCTCTGAAGTATCACAGGTCAGGCCTCCATTATATTATTATTTCTCTCAACATTCTTATCATCCAAGTTCTCATGTAACAGTCCATTAAGTTCTATATACCCAAGGCTTTTCCAACCTAAACACTTCAACAGTCCTCCCCCAAAACAACATGGTTGGGTTGGTCAAAACAACACCCCACTTCTGGTTCCAATTTATGTCTTTAATACTATTTTAACAAACAGACATGGTCATAATCCAAAGCAACTTGTGGAGGAAGGGGTGTTTTTCAGCTTACATGTTATAGTCCATCAAGGGAAACCAGGACAGAAGCTCAACGAGGTGAGGCCATGGAGCTAAAGTGCTTATTGGCTCACTTTTTCTGGCTCATGTCCAACCTGAGTTTTTAAAAATGCAGAACCAGCTATGCAGGGGTGGTTCACACACACACACACACACACACACACACACACACACACACACACACACACAACACACACACACACAGTGTACTGAGCCTTCTCACATCAATTAGTAATCAAGAAAATGCCCAATATATCTGCCCACAGGTCAGTGTGGTTGAGGCAATCCTACAGTTGAAATTCCATCAGATATGCAATGTGTCAGGTTGACAGCTGAAGCCAACTAGGAGAGAACCTAAGTGAGATCACCAGGAGGTTCCACAGAGGCCCCTAAGTGGACGACATCTAATAAGGTAGAAGGCTGGGTCACAGGCATGCAAGATGGCAGGATGTCTTTGCCGTAAACCAAGTTTAACAGTCTCGCTTGAGATTTCCAAATAATGTCTAGGGAAGGAATGAGGTCATGTATCAAGATCACATGCATTCAGGCCTTGACCCTGATTCATTGCTATTTTAACATAAAATATCCATGTATCAAAGGAATATGAGTCTGCCACTTTTCTCTTCTTATTGTACCAGAATCCTTGTTTCTCGGCTGGAGGGCGGCTTTATCCAGATTCCAGGGTGAGGGCCTCCTCCCCTCTTCACAATTTTCTCCATCTTTCAATCACGCTTCAAGTGTCTTTTCCTCTCCCTCAAGTACTTGAGGGAATGAAAGGATGTGGGATGTGTGGTTTTCTTGCGTGTCATCTTCTCAAAACTGTCAGTCATTTCCATAGTGACTTTCTCAAAATGGGCATGGCTAGCAGGAGAGACACTTTATAATAGGAATCAAAATGTAGGACAAGGGGTGCAGCCAAACACTTTTTTCCATCTTAGTCATTTGATCAGGTGAGGTTTGTACAAAGGAACATTGATAAAACAGAACTCCTCTCCACCTCTAAAACTGACACTGGCCCTGAAAATCTGGCATGTTTGGTTATGGTGTAAAGCCATAAATAGCACCTCCATAATTTAAGCACTGTGAATTCTGGAAGAAGCTCTATACCCCCGTTTTACCCCCTTCCTCCACTGCTCTGTGTGTGTGTGTGTGTGTGTGTGTGTGTCAGAGAGAGAAGTGAAATTAAATTATGATTATTATTTTCATGAGTGATGGGGATAGGACAGCTCTGTCAGTAGAATGATGGCCTACTATGCACAAAACCCTAGATTTGATCCCCAGCACCACAGGAAACCAGGTGTGTAGTTCGTGCCTATAGCCCTGGAATGCTAGAGGCAGAGGCAGGAAGATCAGAAGTTCAAGGTCATGGCCCAGCCAGCCGACTTAGTGAGTAAAACCACTGGCTGCTGAATCTGACAAGCTGAGTTTGACTGTGTGTTAGAATGAAAGAACTGACACCTGCAAAACTGTCCTCTGGCCTCTATAAGTGTGCCACCTCATTCATGCACACACACACACACTAAATGTAATCTAAGGAAAGAAGGTCAAGGTCATCTTTGGCTACATGGCTAGTTCAAGGCCAGGCTGGACTACATGAGATCCTACAGAAAGAAAGAAAGGAAGAGAGAGAAGGGAGGAGGGAAGACGTGGATGTTGTGACACAAACTTGAAACCAGTTCCAGCCATATGAAATACTTTACCAAATAATAGTAATAATGTTTTAAAAGCTGGAATTCTCTTGAGCACCCATGGAAAGTTCAATTGTCCCCAAAGGAAAGGCAAAGCATTACAACTGACTTTCTAAAATGCATTACCTAAAATACCACGAGCGAGCATGCACACACACACACACACACACACACACACACACACACACACCAGAGAAGGAGAGAGAGAGGAGAGAGACAGAGACAGAGACAGAGGCAGAGAAACCAGCAAGAGCATGGTCTACAAACAGTTGTTTATGTCAGTGACTTTTAAACCCATTGATCACAAAATAGTCTCTTTGAGAGAAGGATGGTCTCTCTGTGCCCCATATATCAACAGCTTAATTATGGGAGCTGGAGAACTCATATTAGATATGCATATCTCACTGGTTACATTGTATCAAATATTAGCCCCATATAATTTAAACTCGCCCGGGTATGGAGTGTACTGAATCCCATTTTGCTGGTAGCAATGACAACTCAACTCAATTTGATCTAACAGGTTCCGGTGTGTGAGTGGTCTGAAAGGCTTCGGTGCGAGGGTTCCTATTCCATTTGAATTGAGTAATTAGGGAAGGAAATGCAGGTTCCTTTATTACAAGACAAATGAAATTGCAGCTAGCAGAACTACCACCTTCCTGTGGGTAACCACGTGTTGCATAAAATCCCCTTGACCTACACGAGATGCCAGAGGAGTTCCATTCCCCCTTCTGTTTATACCATTTTCACAGTTATCATTTATTTATGCCAGATTCTGTTCCTAAAAGGGAGGAGAGGAGAATAAATCTGGGCAATGCCAAGAAAGAAGGAGATGTGTGAAAACACGAGCGAAAAGACTTCCAGCACAGGGTCTTTGCTAATTGATGAGAGCCGTCCAACACCGTTTCAGTGAGTGTGTGCTAAGCTAGTACAGGGATTTCTGTCCTTGTCTTTTCTTATATGTCTTTTTAGTACTGGATGAGAGAAAGGTTTTTCCCTCTCCAACACCTCTCCAAGCATCCCCTCCTAAGCAGAGAAACACACATCTTTCCTTGCTAGTTAATGGCAGGTGTAGGACCGCAGGCAGTGGCCAGCCCTCCCTCTCCACCTCCCTGGCTCACCACCCAATCACACCTGTGGAACCAATGACATTTCTACAAAGTCCAGGAAGAGATTGTGGCTACCAGGAGGGTGCAGTTCATTGGGCACTATTCTTAGCAGTCTCATGAATTACTAATGACTCTTCAGAAAGTTTGTCTTACACAGATTTTCATGAAATTTCAAGACAAGAAAATTTTATTATTTAAGACAATGATAAATAAGAGCAGCTAATTCTGTTCATTGAAATCATGGTTGTGTTTATTGTGAGACAATGTTGTAAAGGGAGAAGAAATGAGGAGAGAGAGAGAGACAGAGAGAGAGAGATTTGAAAGGCTAAATTGTCCATCTAAATTCTGTTTTGCTTTAGTTAAATTTTTATAAGAAATGTGCAGCTGAACACTGTGTAAAACATTGTCCAGCAGTGTACCCATGAACAGGAACTGAAGAATGGCATTATAAAAGTTGGCATGTCTTCCACAGGGCTGACAGAACACACATGGGGAAATGCCCTCTGGGATGAAGGAATATAGCTATCGGAACTCCTGCCTGCCAGCACCCAGGCTTAAAGAAGATGCTTCCTCAGAAAAATGCATAGATTATTTTATCAATATGGTCTGCACACCAGCTTCTCATTCATAACACAGGGGAAGTCACACTGTCCCTAGGATTCCTGGGAGATGACAGCCAACCCTCCTCAGGACACTCAGCAGTGGCAATGCCTGAGCCTGGACTAGTTGACATGAGGCCCATCGTTACCTGGCTATGTTGTACCACTCAGATGATCTCCTGGAGTGGGACCTGAAGATGGGGCAAAAAGACACTCCCAGTGAAAGGCCACACCTTGGAACAATGATGTTTCAAGTCCTGTTGCCTACAGCAGGAGGCAAACTGCTCTACTAGTGTACCGTCCTAGAGGTGAACTCCTAAGGGGGTGAAGATATAATCCAAGTGGTACGCCAAAGTGTTTATTTTATTTCCCAAGACATGCGAATTATATAGTCTGCTCCAAAATACACCCATGCTCGGAGTAAAAGTTGGTTGATAAAAAATGCAAACTGATGTTGAAGAATTTTCTGCAGTTCCCATATTCAACTAGATAAATGTGTTTTCTCACTGCTAATGAGCTGTGCATGCCCTGTTCTTCTGCCCCTCCCACTGCCCCCCGCCTCTTCTTCACTTTCGCTTTCTCTTCCATTTTACAAGAAGCAGGTGATAGCATAGTGATGGACAGAAGCTATTAAGGGAATGAAATCAAGCTTAAGTGTCTTGTCTTGAGACAGCATCCAGCATCCAGAGAGGTTGGCTCCAGAATAATAGACTCAGGGTTCTGTGCAACAGATGACTTCCCTTTTGTGAGAGAAGACACCTCCACAATCTCATCCTCTTTTTTCTTTAGTAAGCACACTAGGTTTCTTCATGGCATTGTCATACATACATATCACTGTGACTTGTAACGTTTGCTCCCCCCCCCCCATCACCTTCTCTGGTCCTCTCTCATCCTCTACTTATGTGAAAAGCTAAAAAAAAAAAATACAAAAATTCTTCTAAGTAGATTTGAGCTTTGTGATGGTTACGGTTATACTCATCATCTCGGCGGGAATCTAGAATTACTGGAGAGGTGGTCCTCTAGGTACACCTGTAAGAGATGATCTAGATTAAGGTGGAGCCCTGAGAACATCTGGAGGGGATTATTTTGGTTATACTGATGTGAGAAGGCTTATCTTGTTTGTGAGTGGAACTGTTCTCTTGGCAGGGGATCTGGAATTGTATGTAAGGGGGACAGAAGCTGGGCTTCTCTCCCTCTTGGTCTTGATGTCCTCTCCCTTGGTGTCCACTTCCTCCCCAAGGACTGTACCCTCACAGAGTCAGAATAATCCCCTCCTCCCTTAAGTTCCTCTATCCCAGAGCACCAGCAGGAAGGCGGATGAAGACAGGGCTATGCATAAGAACCACAGACTACAGTGATTTAAAGGCTGCATTTACCTTCCCCTTGGGGAAAGATGGCTGCTCCTCCGAGCTTAGCTCTGCTTGGGTATAGTTCCTCAGCTCTTAGACCACTATTCTGGGTTCAACCTCAGAAGACAAGTGTGGAATCCACGTGGCTCCCAGAACTCCCGGTTTCTCTTGATTTCCCCAGTAGAGTCAGAACTCTGAGCTTTCCATGCCACGTGGTAGCCAAGGACTCTGAACTAATAGCATTGCCCCTAGATGCTCCTTAACCATTCTCCCCACCAGCAAGGCCTTGGGCTCCTCTGTGAGGGGCTTAGGTTGGAAACTTTGTTTATCAGGCTAGAGAAATGGTTCAGTGGTTAAGAGCACCAGCTGCTCTTCCAGAGGACCTGGGTTCAATACCCAGCACCCACATGGCAGCTTACAAGAGTCTGTAACTCCAGTTCCAGGGGATCCAACACCCTCACACAGACATACACGTAGGCAAAACACCAATGCACATAAAATTAAAAATAAACTATTCTTTAAAAAAAAGAAACTGTGTTTATCAATGAGTCACATTTTCATTTGACGGTATTTTAAGTTCATAAGAAAAAGCAGTTTATTATAAACTAGGTCACCGCATACATGTGGGGAACAAGGACTGACCAGTGGTTTCAGGCTCCCACGAGGAGCAGGGTGGAAGCCTGGTGCTGTCTTTGGCTATGAAGAGGCTCCCGTGGGAACCCTGGGAAACACGCCTTTAGTGGGATGGGTGAATAAAAAGAGCATCTTCCGGAAGTCCCGGCTTCCACACCGGAAGTCCCGGCTTCCACACCTCTTCCCCTAATCTCATTGTTTATTTCTCCCTGCTCACCTTTCCTTCACACCCATCTCTCCCTTCTCTTCTTTATGGCTCCCACTGCCCTATTCAATTTTTAATACCAGTCCTTCGTGATCAATGTCCCTGAAAGTCTCTCCTCTCACTTACAAGTCAGTCTATGTTAATCTGCTGACAGGAAAGGGAACATGAAAATCTAACTCGAGGAAATAAAATTCCACTTCTTTGTGTGTGTGGTGGGGTGGTGGGGGAGGTGGGCAATAGTTGTTTTTTAAAGATCTGAAGCTAAAAGGTGTTTACGAGGGCAACGTGACATAAAGTCATAGCATAATGGTTTTATTGAGCATTTCATTGATTTTTCTCAGGAGTTGGGTTGGGATATTATTCTCAGGTAACCTCAGCAAACGACTCCACAGCACTGAAATTCATTAGCATCTGGCCTGTTTGTAATCATGCAGTATGGGTGGGGTGAGAGGGTCTAGGGGACCAAGCAGCAAGGCAGCTGAGGAAGGAAGGGGGATGCTGCCAACATTCCAGCTCAAAGCTTCTTAAGCAGTATGTTTACAGAATACCTGAGCGATGGCATCAAGGATGACCTGAGTGATGGCTACCAGAATACAGCTCTGCCTTCTTGCTGTTAAAGGACTAGGGCAGCCTTAGGCTTTCAGGAGAAATCTCTGAAATGACACAAGCTTCTTAAGACAGGATGCAAAACCCATGAAGAACAGGTCTACCAGCGAGTCACAGCCATGCCACCATTGGCTGCCAACAAGGGTGACCTTTACACCGATCTCCAGCTTCCAGGGAGACGGTGATGTAGGGCATCTGTGAACCAGTGTCCAGTCCATGATGTTTCCCCCTGTCTCTGGTAAGAGGAGCCTTTGTGTAAAGAAATGTGGTCTTCCTGCCCTTTAAGGAGTGCAGTCGAATGTCTCAGATTCACACAGGGATGTTTTAGCAAAGCATATAATCAGTTTCACAGAAATCCTAGCCAGGATTCTCCATCACGACCAATTGGTTAAGTGTTTCCTGGAGTTATAAAGCCACAATACAGCTTCCTGGAAATTAGGAAAAAAAAAAAAACAAATTCTCACCATGACACCGAAGGATTTCAGACAGAGTGTATCATAATCAAGATCTTAGTGAAGTCCCTGCCCTGTACAAAATTCTAAAATGCAAGAGTTATCTACAGAAGGGCTCATTGTTTAAGTGGTAACAATGATGTAAGTTAGGACCTGGGCAAAGCTCAGGACCCAGAACATGCCACTAGGGCTCCACAAACATTTGTTCAAGAAAGGAAGGAAAGAAGTGCTGTCAGACAGATGGACAGGTGGGTGGATCGTGTGTTTAAACCTTTGGCCTGTTTACCATAAACCTTTCTTTCTAAGAGGGCATCTTCATTTGTATTTTTGTTTGTTTGTTTGTTTGTTTGTTGTTGGTGGTGGTGTTTTGGTTTTGAGATGGGGGTTTTCTGTGTAACAGCCCTAGCTGTCCTGGAACTTGCTCTGTAGACCAGGCTGGCCTCAAACTCATAGAGATTCTAAGATGGTCTCTTGAAAGGAAGGATTTTCTTTCTTAATTTCACAAACACCCTCTTTCTCTCTCATTCGCTCCATCTGTCTGTCTGTCTGTCTCCCTCTCCTCCTCCTCTCTCCCCCCCTCTCTCTGTCCCTCTCTCTCCTTCTCTCTCTCTCTCTCCCTCTCTCTCTCTCTCCCTCTCTGTCTCCCTCTCCTCCTCCTCTTTCTCTCTCCCTCTCTCTCTGTCTCCCTCTCTCTCTCCCTCTCTCCCCCCTCTCTCTGTCCCTCTCTCTCCTTCTCTCTCTCTCTCCCTCTCTGTCTCCCTCTCCTCCTCCTCCTCCTCCTCTCTCTCTCTCCCTCTCCCCTCTCTTTCTCTCTGCCTCTCTCTCTCCTCTCCTTTTTCCTCCCCCCTCTCCCCTCTCTCCCACTCTCACTCCCATCCTCCTTTCTTCTTATCTTCCCCACTCCTTGTGTGTGCTGTATAAACACGTGTATAGATGTGCCAGAGTATAGATGTGGAAACCAAAGAAAGCTGCCAGGTGTCCTATTGTCACTCTCCACCTCATTCTTTTGAATCGAGGCGTCTCACTGAAGCCGAAGCTAATCTGGTGGCTCCTGAACCCCCAAAATCCTCCTTTGTCTGCCTCCCAGAGCATTAAGGTTGCAGCTTGTGTGTGACCATGACCAGTTTTTAACACAGGTTCTGGGGATTTGAACTCAGGTTTTCAGGGCAGAGTAGCAAGCACTTTTGACCACTGAACCATAGTCCTACCCCTCTCTGTAAGCTTCAGTTCATATATGCAACCATAAACACGGGTACCGTCAGTTTTTCTGATTTATCTCCTTAAACATCCTCAAATATTCAGATTCCCTAAGGATATGGAATTTGCCCCTGGGTGATGGGGTGCATGTTAATGATTTCATGTGAGTTGCTTTGGGCAACTCTTTCGCCTCACTGCTACCCCTTCAAGTACCAAGGTCATTGGTATGCATGCCGGATTACTGAGTAGTTGTGGCTTGTGGGAAATTCTGCAAAATTCAATGGGCTTGCATTGGTCAGATGGAGCTGCTTCCAGGTGAGTTACACAGTAAATTTATATCCTCAGTTCTTGAGATTGGAAGTACCAGATTGATGTCTGCCCAGTCAGGCTCTACAGAGATTGCTGGACAAAGCCTGTCTTCTCGCTGTGAACTCACCCAGTGGACAGTAAACTCTTGGTATCTCTTCATAGAAGGACTCTCGTCCTTTAGAATTTGGGTGATTCTTATCATCGTGACATTATCTGACCTTTAAGCACTTCAGCACTACTATAAAGTGTATGCACATGGCAGGTAATAGTTGGAGTCTTAATGTCATTTGAATAGTCTGAGGTTAATTCTCCCTACAGATGAAGAAATAGACTGGGTGCCTGACACCCTAACAGCTCATTCCTTCCAGCGTAACTGTCCCTAGCTTCTGCAAGCTGCCTGCCTTTCTCTGCCTTTCATGCTGCCTCTCCTGCTCCATGTGGTTGCCAATAAGTTGACCAATTTTCCATATTAGAATATTAGCATAAAGCATAATGCACCCCACATTAAATGATATGCTGCAGTACTTGTTCCCCCGCCCCTGCCTGCAAGTTCTCTACCTATCACAGCCTCCTCTGCATCTTGGATCTTTGAAGTAATCCCCAACCTCCCATCAATGTGGGTTTCTCAAATGTCCTCCTCCTGACTCCCAAAGAGCTATGTCATAGGCCTGTCACATGTCCTCCAGTCACAGAATAAGACTTGCCTAGTAAGTACCTCTTCCCCTGAGAAAATGTTGGGGAAAAGCAACCCCAGTAGAAGTG